ATGTTCCAGATTGAGTCTAAAGACTTTATTTTCAAGTTTTGGATAATGTTTCTCAATAATATTATGTACATGTACATAGATGTGTGTTTTATCTTAAAAAAAAGCTAATCTGTCAAAATGATTTTTTAAAATAAAAGAAGTCAGCGCTTCTAGCTAATTCCTGTTGTTCTTCAGCAGTGACTTGCTCCAAGAAGTAGTCCCTGACCTTCAGTTCCCCCATCTCGAGCTGGGGTGCCCAGGCTGGATCAGATGCCCAGCTCAGCTCCCAGTGTTTATCTCTGTCTTAACACTCTCCCTCTTTATTGTTTATCTGTGTGCCCCTCATAACTGGTGTAACTGGCAGGGTCCAGTGCAAAATGAGAACACAGGGCTCTTATTAAAAAGTTATTTAGACTTTTAAGACAGTGACGGGAGTGTTAAACGAATGCAGCATGTGATGACTGCCCATGTGTGGTGCACCCATGACACCACCCTGGCCCACGCACTGGGAGTTGATCTCCTTATTACATTCACCTTTGTAACCCAAGCACACAGAATTGCTGACACATAGTAGGCACTGGACAAATATATTTGTGGAATGTTATTCATTATTTAACAGGTTCTGAAAAAAGTGAATCCTTTGATGATTTCAATTTTGGAAACTCTATTTTTGGAAACACATCTGTTGTACAACATACTTATGTGCACATATTTCAAGGTGAAAGCAGGCTGCATTGTGTCCTCTATTCCATGTATTGCATGGGGCTGCTCACTTGCCTTCACTCCTTTTCCTTTCAGTTCCACAGGCCTTGGTAATCACAACTGTCCTGTCTTCCAGTTGGCTGCTTCTTTCTTCTGCTTGCTCAGATCTGCTGCTGAACCCCTCTGTTGCCATTAGTCTTCGGGGTGAGCATGACTTTTCTCCTCTGGTGATATTTTTGGTTGTGTACCTTGTGCCTTCCTAGTCATGTTCTCCCCAGTCCCTTTGCTAGACACACTACCTCCTCCAGGCCCTCTGCCTGCGTCTCATAACTCCTGCTTCTGCACAGCACAGGCCAATCCCTGGTCCCTCCCCGGCTACTCAGAAACTACCTTCCTCCTCCTGGAATGGACTCTGCGAGCTTCTCAGTAGGATGGTATTCCCACTCAGCAGGTGGGGAAGGAGACCCAGCTTCCTTACATGAAATTTGTTAAATATCAAAGCTGTGTGTCTCAGTTCCATGTTTTAGAGGCCTTGGTGGAATGCCATTTGGGGTGTTTACAGTTTTGACTTTCTTTCCTCACCCACATGCTCACACACCCACATAAAATTTAGACACAGATTAAGGTTTGGAGACACATCTTTGTAACACAATGCTAGGCTTTTCTGCCAGCTCAAGGTTGTCTCATTATCCCTTTCTTAAGAGTCTTTTCCCATAAAATTTTTTAGGCCTTCATGGAATAGACTTTTCTGGGAGGCCACGCTCTGCTGGTTTATCAGACAGGCTCAGACAGTTCTCCCTGACTTGAAACATGCCCATTATACCTTCCCTGTTGCCCCATCCACCTTAGCTCCTGGAATATCTAAGGACATACTTTCTTTTCCCTTAATTTCCATTGAACTTTATTCAGACCATATGGAAGAATCAATAACTCATTTGCAGTGGAGGGCCTGTTTGTATTGTAAATAGCTCAACTTATTTAACATGTTTTATTTATTCAAGGTGTCCTATAGTTGTCATGTTTGCTCAGAGACCATAGTTAGGAACATAGCAGAGCTGTGTATGCATATTTGTCATGTCCTGACGGGTCACCTTGGCCAGAAGCAGAGGGAACAGCAGATCATGTTTAGACAAAAATTTGGTTCCAGGTCATCACCCACACAGTTGCAGGGAAAATAAGCCCCAAAATAAGTACAAATAGGGTGTGAGTTTTAATCCATGATGATTAATCTACCAATTTTACATTTAGAAGTAAAAAAATACATCATATCAAAAATAAACTTTAGTTTAAACCTCTGACAGGCTTTTCAAAAGACCTTTGAGATGAAAAGTTAACAATTCCATCTTAAGTCCAACACTGTTAGCGGTATTTATATGGCATTTTCCATGTGCCAGGTGCTGTTTAAAGCACCTTATAAATATAAACTCAACTGAACACACAGAACAGCCCTTTGGTGCAGGTACTTCAGGTATTTTTCCCTAATCATCTAGACAGGGCTTTTCAGCTCTTTTGCAAATATGCACTGTTATTTAGAGAAATGGGTCATAACATTGATTTTTATATTAATATATGTATATAATTTCAAAACATGCCTGCAGGTCATGATTTTATCTATTGGAATCAGCAAATTAATGCAATGTTCCTCTAATCATAATTTGCAAGCCCAGTGGATTCTTTGTATTATATTTCTTGTAAGTGTCTTAGAAGATTTAAAGAATTAAATAATTTTACATTTGTCTCAGAGAGGAGATATATAAGGATAGTCTATCATTTTGTCAAATAAACTGACCTAATAAAGATTGACAGCATCAAGTAAATATGTAATTGGAAAGGCAGTAGAATCAGCATGGTGACTTTCAGCTAGTTGACCTCTCAAAAACTGTTCATGTGCCTTGGGTGGTTGAGAGATGCTAGCCATACCACACATTCATACATTATTCAAACATCATTCCTTGTATATAGTTAATGGTATGGGCATGCGAATAGCCTAGATTTTCTGGTATGCTATCTATGCTTCCCTCATATATACCCCTGATTGTCCAGCCCCACGTCCTCATTTTTGTTTCAGAAACTATGTCATTATATGATAGAACAAGTGTCCATAAACACTATTAGGTGTCAGTGTAATTAGGCAAACTCAATTTTTTCCCCCAGTAGTCAGTACGTTGTACTAATTTTTTAAAAACATGAAACATGAATGTAACTCTTGTTTTGAAGCCTAAGTCACAATATATAAAATACTTAGGGTCAGTGTTTCTGAAATAGGACCCTAAGGGGTGCCAGAAGATGTTCATTGGTAAGGAAAGATGGACAATGGTGAGCAGAGATGAGCAGTTACATGCTTCATGTTCTTGAAGTTTCTCAGAACTCAAGGAGCATGTACGGGGTTGCTTTTGTTTTTAAAAGAGAATTTGTCCCCCTTTTCAGTTTTGCTTCTTATCATCTTTTTGGAGAGCAGATATCTTTGGCAATCTCACAAGTATGCCTTCTTCAAGATAAAAAATTAAAGTGCCACAAAGAACAAAAATGAGCCCAGGACCAGACACATGCTAGAAGCCATTGGACACATTCATTTTCAATTTTTCTTCTTGGTAAGCCTGGTAGTATAAGTATATATTGATGTTTTTGCATATTTTGCACATTATCAAGAATAACTGGACAGTAACTGGTGGGTGTAGGGGGTGGCAGGTGGAGGTGGGGTTTGCATGCTGACTGCACCTGATCATCAGCCTTGTCCCCTGCCTGTTATTTTACAACTCACAAACATCTGAGAGGGGAGAGGTAGGAATCAGGGAGCCGCTGGGTAAGTACTTTCCCTTCAAGTAGGCCTTTTCAGTAACTGTAAACTAATAAGTGAAGAAGGTCATTGCTACACCCTGAAATGATCCTTGCTTTTGGAAGCAGGGAGACTGTGAGCCATGTGGAGAATAAGAAAGAGCTGTGTATGCATATTTGTCATGTCCTGACGGGTCACCTTGGCCAGAAGCAGAGGGAACAGCAGATCATGTTTAGACAAAAATTTGGTTCCAGGTCATCACCCACACAGTTGCAGGGAAAATAAGCCCCAAAATAAGTACAAATAGGGTGTGAGTTTTAATCCATGATGATTAATCTACCAATTTTACATTTAGAAGTAAAAAAATACATCATATCAAAAATAAACTTTAGTTTAAACCTCTGACAGGCTTTTCAAAAGACCTTTGAGATGAAAAGTTAACAATTCCATCTTAAGTCCAACACTGTTAGTGGTATTTATATGGCATTTTCCATGTGCCAGGTGCTGTTTAAAGCACCTTATAAATATAAACTCAACTGAACACACAGAACAGCCCTTTGGTGCAGGTACTTCAGGTATTTTTCCCTAATCATCTAGACAGGGCTTTTCAGCTCTTTTGCAAATATGCACTGTTATTTAGAGAAATGGGTCATAACATTGATTTTTATATTAATATATGTATATAATTTCAAAACATGCCTGCAGGTCATGATTTTATCTATTGGAATCAGCAAATTAATGCAATGTTCCTCTAATCATAATTTGCAAGCCCAGTGGATTCTTTGTATTATATTTCTTGTAAGTGTCTTAGAAGATTTAAAGAATTAAATAATTTTACATTTGTCTCAGAGAGGAGATATATAAGGATAGTCTATCATTTTGTCAAATAAACTGACCTAATAAAGATTGACAGCATCAAGTAAATATGTAATTGGAAAGGCAGTAGAATCAGCATGGTGACTTTCAGCTAGTTGACCTCTCAAAAACTGTTCATGTGCCTTGGGTGGTTGAGAGATGCTAGCCATACCACACATTCATACATTATTCAAACATCATTCCTTGTATATAGTTAATGGTATGGGCATGCGAATAGCCTAGATTTTCTGGTATGCTATCTATGCTTCCCTCATATATACCCCTGATTGTCCAGCCCCACGTCCTCATTTTTGTTTCAGAAACTATGTCATTATATGATAGAACAAGTGTCCATAAACACTATTAGGTGTCAGTGTAATTAGGCAAACTCAATTTTTTCCCCCAGTAGTCAGTACGTTGTACTAATTTTTTAAAAACATGAAACATGAATGTAACTCTTGTTTTGAAGCCTAAGTCACAATATATAAAATACTTAGGGTCAGTGTTTCTGAAATAGGACCCTAAGGGGTGCCAGAAGATGTTCATTGGTAAGGAAAGATGGACAATGGTGAGCAGAGATGAGCAGTTACATGCTTCATGTTCTTGAAGTTTCTCAGAACTCAAGGAGCATGTACGGGGTTGCTTTTGTTTTTAAAAGAGAATTTGTCCCCCTTTTCAGTTTTGCTTCTTATCATCTTTTTGGAGAGCAGATATCTTTGGCAATCTCACAAGTATGCCTTCTTCAAGATAAAAAATTAAAGTGCCACAAAGAACAAAAATGAGCCCAGGACCAGACACATGCTAGAAGCCATTGGACACATTCATTTTCAATTTTTCTTCTTGGTAAGCCTGGTAGTATAAGTATATATTGATGTTTTTGCATATTTTGCACATTATCAAGAATAACTGGACAGTAACTGGTGGGTGTAGGGGGTGGCAGGTGGAGGTGGGGTTTGCATGCTGACTGCACCTGATCATCAGCCTTGTCCCCTGCCTGTTATTTTACAACTCACAAACATCTGAGAGGGGAGAGGTAGGAATCAGGGAGCCGCTGGGTAAGTACTTTCCCTTCAAGTAGGCCTTTTCAGTAACTGTAAACTAATAAGTGAAGAAGGTCATTGCTACACCCTGAAATGATCCTTGCTTTTGGAAGCAGGGAGACTGTGAGCCATGTGGAGAATAAGAACTTAACAACAAACACAGAACACTTCCAAGTGCCACACACATGTACCATCCCTGACAGCAAGCTGTTTAGCGTGGGGTCCAGTTTCATTATCTTTATTTTACAGATCAGGAAATGGAAACACTTGAGCTAAAATAACTGGCCGGAGGTGTGCAACTATGGTGACAGAGCTGGATGGGAGAGCACAGAAGTCTGGCTTCAGCGTCTGTGTGATAAACTTCTCATGGAGTATCTGCCCCAGAGCAGGAAGCCACTGGGCGATGCTTCTCTGGGCTTCCTCCTGCACCTGTGTGGGACACAGGTCCCAGATCACTTTCCTATAGGTGAGCCAGGAGTGACAGCGGTCTTAAATGTTGTTAGCGGGATTGGATGGGAAGATATCTACTGGATGTCTGCACAGACATGCTGCTCAGTGAAAAAGAAAAAGGGAAAAAAAGTCTATGGGCTGAATAAATTCTGTAGCAAAATTCAAAAATTTATAAATCTAGAATTTCTTTGCATAGTTAAACTTTGGCTTCCTTCTTTTTATTTATGTACCTTGCAGTTTTCTAATCCCTAAAGTAAAAAAAAATGTTCATTGCTCATAAAAAAAATCAGAAAAAAACATAAAGAAGAAAGTGAAAATTCCCTGTAATCCTACAACTGAGAAAACAGCTATGAAAATTTCACTGACTATCCCCTTGGACTTTTTTCCTGTGCATTTGTAGGGTAAATACATATATACATACATTTGTAGGATAGACACACACACACGCACACACAGCTAGATTAAAGTTTGGGGGACAATGGACTGGGCTCTACAAATCCTGTTTACCTATGTTTTTCACTTAACACAATGTAGACGTTTTCACCTGTCAGTAGATCTAGTTCCATATCTTCATGTTTTATCATTACAAAGTGCTTCATTGTGTGTATGCTTCATAATTTACTTTAAAGTTCCACTACTGAATGACACTTAGGGTTATTTATTGCTATTATAAATAAGCCTGGGATGATTAAAGGTACATCTATGTATTACTGTTTATTTCCTTAGAGTAAATTCCTGGAAATGAAATTCTTTGATCAGAGAGAATCTGGTTTAAGGATTTTAATATATTATGTCAATTTCCATCTCTCTCCTTCCCCACCTCCACCAACACCCTGAAAACGATACTTTTTTCTTTTTAACTTTTGTCATCTTGGTAAGAGGCTGTTTCTTGCATACTTTTCAACAGTGGGTTTAATAACATTGGGTTTTTGTTTAGATTGGGTATTTCAATCATCACCAGTGTGGTAAGTAAAAAAAAAACCCAGTAAATAAAAATAATAAAATGCTATTTCATTTTAATTTGCAATTCCTTGTTTACTACTGAAGTTCACTTTTCTTAGGTCTGGGTACTAGTCACTTGTATATCTTTGGAGAAGTGGGTGATCACACCCATTTCTATTTTCCTTTTATTTTTGACTGTAAGTGCTTTTTACATATTAAGAACATGAACTCCTTGTCATAGATGTTAAAACTGCTTTTCGCATTGCTTGTCTTTGACTTTATGATTTTTCTAACCATACAAACATTTCGATTCTGTCTGTCTTCCTTATTGGTTCTGCATTTGATTTTTAGCATATGAAGATCTTCTCCACATTAAGATTATAGAAGCATTTGCTTATATTAATTTTACCTTAAACTTTTTCTCTTCCTGTAATTCATTTTGGTATATGACATGACCGACTGATCTAGCTAGTGGTCCAATTAGTTTTTTACTAATTAATCTATATTTTCTAGTGCTTCAAAAATATTTAGTGTTTTTAGTGGGGATAGAAAATCAAGATGTACTTTTCAGGTGAAAATGAAGTCAGGGACCTTTCATAGCACGTGAACCACATGCTGTTTTCCCAGCAGCAGTGCTGAATTCCTGTTCTTCTCAGCACTGTTACCAATGCCTCCTTTCTTTAAGATCTGGAAAAGTTTTCTTTGACCAATGCCTTGATACGGGCTTTGGAAACACCATGCTTCGTCTAACAATTACACAGACAAGCCCTTGGCACCAGTGAAAAAATGAAGAAAGCAGGAAACTGTTCTTCTGAGTCTCATAAAAATGAAGGAACCAGCCAAATAACTGGCCGACAGACAAACTGAAAATCCTTCTAGGAAGGTGAGGTGATCAGAATATGGGGAGGGACCGAGGCTCTCTTTGTGCCACATCGCTGCACCCGCCTCACTAAGTATCACAGCAACAAGCTGAGGGGGGATCTCAGTGTGCCACACAGCTCATGTCAAGTTCAGGATGTCTGGAAATATCAAACTTGGAAGGAGATCACACAAATTCCTGCCTGATATGATGGAGGGGCAGCGCTTATTTTGTCAGGAAACTCTCTTTTATATCTAGCTGACTTATGCTCATTGAAGTGAGTTTGGTCCCCTCTGGAAACTGGTGCCTGCAGCTTGTTCTTCTCCACACTGCAAACTGTGAGATATCAGAACACGCCCTCTAACTTCTCATCTTTCACGAGTGAAGCCTCTTTTTATTTGGATGAAGTGACCTCATGATCTGAACTGATTATAAAAATGAACATGAGAAGGACAAACAGGATGTGCCATCAGATTTTCCAGAGGCTTTCATAAAATCTTTTCCTTCCTTTCAAATCAGAGAATAATGAAAAACACAGAATGTGCCATACTTTTTTCTTGTCTCTGTTTAATATAAGACCTTGCTGATTAAGTAAATTCTATTCTAAATTCTGTTTGCAAAAGAATGCAGATTTATCTCTACTTGGTATTCATTTATGCAGTTATTAATTCAATTAATGTTTATTGAGCACATATTTCATGAAAGGACTGAAATCTACATTTGATTTTTTGCCTGGTACTGTGATGGGTGCTTTTAAGATACTTCCTCATTTAATCTGCATGAGAATTTTGTGAGAGAGGTATTTTCACCCATATAACATGTGAAGAAACTAAGGTTCAGAGAGGTTAAGTGCCTTGTCCAAGGACACTCAGCAGGTGTATGTTGAACCTGGGATTTAAATGTATGTCTCTCAGAGTTCATGGGCTACTTGTTCTTTCTACTCTAGCAGTGATTCTTCTTGTTTTGAAAATCGTTTTCTTATTTCTCTCTAATTTAATTGCTTTGTTTTTGGAGAGCATAGCCTATGTGATATCTAGTCTTTGAATTTGTTGAGGCTTCCTCTGTGATCTGGTACATGGTCTGTTTCTATAAATATTCTATGTTTACTTGAAGAGATTGTATATTCTCTGCCAGTGGAGGGCTTCATATATCCATTAGATAAGCTTGTTAACTTGGTTGTTAAATCTATTTCATTAACCTTTGGTCTGCTTGATCTGTCCATTTCTGGTAGATGTTAAAGTCATGATTGGATATTTGCCAAATTCTTCTTGTCATCATTCTGTTAGTTTTGCTTTATATATATAATTTTGGCTCTGCAGTTAGTTGCATACAAGTTATGATTCTTTTATTTTCCTGATAGATTGTTCTAGTCATTATTATGTAGGGTTTCAGATTATCTTTCTTAATGCTTTTTGACCCTAATGCTTTGGTATGCCAGTTTTGTTTTGGCTAGATATTTGCCTCATATCTATCTATCTATCTATCTATCTATCTATCTATCTATCTATCTATCATCTATTATCATCTATCTCTATCTATCTATCTATCTATCTATCATGTATCTATCATTTATCTATCTATCTGATGATAAGCATGTGAGATGAGATGATAGAAAAATATATATTCTATTAAAAGTATATATCTGTATATATAATATATAATAATACATATATGTTTCTTTCTAGCACCTTATTTTATGTCTTTCTGTGTAAGTTCATTTTAGGTATGCTTTTTGTAACCAGCACAGATGTTTTATTTTTAATGCATTCAGATGGATGCTGTGTTTCAATAGCATCTCATTGCAAACCCTGCCAAGGCTGGGCTTATTTTTTGCCATCTTATTTCATGCTCTTTCATATTCTTTTACTTTGTTCCTTTTGTCTCCTTCCCTGCATCTGATGGGCTGATAAACTGCCCTCTTATTCCCTATTGACTCTGCTGCTGGTTTGGAAGCTAAAGATTGCATTTCCTTTCATTTTGTGGATATCCTTAACATCTGAACATATGTATTTAATGGTATAGCTTTCTAACAAGATATCAAGTTTTGTCCTATTTCTATACCCCTGCTAGAGGTGCCATGAATCTTCATGTGCTGGAAAAACTCAGTGACTGTCAGTCAGCCCATCTTGTTATTTTGTCTAACACTTTGGTTTTACCTTTCGTACCATCTCTATTTACCCATCTATCTACAGGTCCACCCCTGAGGCCATCTCTCTGTTCATGTATGATTTCTCTTGCCACCTGTTGCCTGCTGCTTTGCCAAGGCTCTTTGTCTGCTCACCAGTTTGTACATCTCTTCTGTTTCTGGTCCACGGACATGTTTGTCTTGGGTTGGAATCTAGGCTGTGAGTTCTTTGTTCTCCTTTAAAAAAAAAAAGAAAATCTATAACTGTTATATGTATTTGGAATAATAGGGGTGTGTCACAACTTGAAGGTACAGAGCTGTGCCGGCTGGAATTCTCTAGCATAGTTTTTAAAGCATGCTAAATGGTCCTTGTAGGCTTGGGAGGAGCTCTCGGATGGAAAGTGCAAGTCTTTTATTGCCGTTATTTGTTTTTCTAATATGTGAATGACTCCCAATTCTACAGACATTTAGTTTAGCCAAGGGCTGTTAGTTCTCAGGGTAGCCCTTAGCGCACACCACTCCTTTGTAAAGATTACAAGGCACCCAGGTGCTGCGGCCCTGAAGCCTGCATTTGAAGGACAGATCGCATTTCCCACCCTGCTCTCCGCCTCTGCCGGTGCCCTTGTGCAGCGTGTAAACCATATCCCCCCATACAGTGGCTCTGTTTACCTGTAACCTCACAAAGTGAATTATTAAGGGTTACTAATAGGTGGTGTTTAAAACTACACTTGGCATGTTGTTACAACTTACTGACAGCACTTCAGGAGTTCTCACCCAAAAGCCTGGTTGCTCTGCATGAATGCAGAGTTCTACCTGTTTCAGTGCGCGCACTGATAGACAGGATTCCCCTGGCGCTTGGGCTCTGGTCAGAGAACTTTGATATTTCTTGCAAGAGCTTATACTCTGTGTTTTAGGCAGGACCCTGGAAGGAGTCCAGATCTTTTATCATAACTTATATCCCTTCACGTTATACACTAAAAGTGAAGCATCAGAACAACTTCAATATTTTGGAAGCTAATAACAGTCAATAATCAAGAGGATGCAGGACACCAAGAGCTGTTAACAGAGGTGTGCTGGTAAGGGTCTAACAAGTGGCTTTCTGAAACAGAAAAAGTCCTGACTTATGGTATTTAACAGTTTCTGTAGTGTAAATACTTCCTCTATGGCAGAATTCAAGCTACCCTTGTGCTGATATCACTGAGCATGGAGCTGGGAAGAGATACATACAAAATTGTCTCCAGCACACAACTGGGCCACATTATACTAGCACCACATAAAGTAGAACATTGATACCTGTATTCCAGTTATTAGTGATAATTCTGTAACTGGATCTTCAAAGTTCAAAGAATAATCAGTCCTCCAAATTATCTGGCAGGCAAGCAACAGCCAGAAACTTGAAGTTTTGTGCTGAGCATTGACTAGCCCCAGATAGTCAACAGCTGAAGGTGAGAAAAGATATGAGTGGCACGTGACAAAACCTGTCTGTGAATTCTTTTATCCACAGTCTGCAAGGTGAGCAGCTCCTATTCTGGGGATATTATTGTGAAGAGGATATCTCATTTGCATTTAGAAAGCTGTAAGTGGTTTTCAAAGATATTATTGTGAGCCTGTGCATGTTTTCCATCTTCCCAACATGCACTGACCTTTTCCCATTGGAGTTTTGGTCATCTTACCTCCACTTGGCATTTGTTTGCCTCTCAAGAACTGCTCTGTCAACCAATTATCTTCCATTTGGATGGGCCATATATTTGCTGTCATGCTTGGTCTTATAATCTAGTTTAGATACTTTGGACTCACGGCTACTGTACCTTATCAATTCTTTTTGGAGTTATGATGGAATGATGTTTTATTTTTTTCTTCTCTTTTGGGAATGTCGTAACATTTTCCTGAACATTGCATTATGTCATTGACAGTACTTTGTGTTATTTAACAAAGTGGCAGACTTGGAATATGCCATTTACTCCACTCAGTTTTACATTTCTAGCAAAAACATGGAGAAAGACAAATGTGAAACCCTTTTCTCCACCCCTGCTTTCCTTTAGAATGTTTGGCTTTTTATTTGAAAGAGGTAGGTTAACTGATAGACATGTATTTAACTGAATATATTTGTGAGCTCAGCTTTTACAATTTTATCTTGAATATTTTAATAAGTCTTTTGCACAACTCTCTCTTTTCCCCTCCCCATTTTAACAGATTTCCACAGTGACTATGCCGGGGTGGTTGATATTTTTTCCGTATGTTGCAGTGTTCCAGAATGAATTATGCTAAAATTGTAAATATGGAATTTGCCCTCAAGCAAAGGTAAACCAGTTCCTCAGTAGCAATGTTTTGTTTAGTTTTCAGTGTTGACAGATGACACACGTTTTCATTCATTCCATGTACCACACTTCATAGAATACTCATATTGGAACAAACATCAGAATCTATGTCAACATTTTTCCAAGTGGTGATTCTCAAAACATTCACCTAGAGATGTTAAAAGCTCTAGACAGAAAAATGTGTTCCATGATCAAATAAGTTTGGAAAATGCAGCATACTCTATTTTCTCTTGACAATTTACAATAATTATTTACCTATTAAAGTCAGTGGTCTGTTAAAGAAAAAAACAACTAACAAAGTTACATACAGAAACAAACACAGATGCTATTTGTTTAACCCCATGTTCACCAAATATTTTGAGAAGAATTTTTTTTCATACCATATTTCTGAATACTGTTTGAAAGGATGTTTTTGGAAATACCAGTTTGGTAAATTTGCCCTAAACCTCTTGGCTAATTATGACCGTATGTAGACTTTTCTAGGTTTCATTGTTGTATTCATGATGAGAATATGCAGCAGTTTTTACACTGTTTAAGCAACAGGACTTAAAAAGAAATCAAAACAAAGTTCATTCTAAGATTGAACAAAATTATTCTCGGATTCATCCATGAACGCTTTGGCAAATGTAGTTGAACTTGAGTATGACCATGTTTCAGTACATACAAATTGAGAGCATTTTGCCTCTTATAAAACATTTCATGCATATGCTAGGAGAGAAAGTTTTGCATATATAATTATTTCATAATTAGTAAGACTTATGGCAATCTGCCAGTAAATTGTGCCTTTGTTACTGTATATTATTGGGTATCAATGAAGTTGTTAACATGGCAACTTCATATATGTATCTATTTAGTGTTTTAGAGAAGACTTAGTTGAATGGTTGTAATTTATGAATAAACACTTCACAAGGCTAGAAACATCTTTACCTAAGTGCTAAAATTCGCTTGTAATCCTTGTCTCAAAAAAATAAATCAAAAGATTACAGCCTACAGAATAGCTAAAGCCAAAAGAAATATCACTTCAGCTAATTTAATTATTAAAGCACAAGATGGCTATTTAAAGAAGATTTTGATAGTATAGAAAAGTAGACAGAAAAAAAAATCCACCCACAGTTTTAACACCTAAGCACAAACATTATCAATATTTTGGGAATATTTCCTTTTAATTTCTGTGCATTAGTTTTTATTTGTTTATCATTTTATTTTGTTTTTAAACAGAGTACAGAGGGATGTTTACTGTGAAGGAAAAAATTTGCAAAAAAATCCTATCTAAGGCCTGGCCTGGGGAACCCCACAGGCTTTTGTTAATTTTGCAAAAGTAAGATCAATTGAAATTCTAAGACTGCTGCCTTTTTCCACATAGATTTCCATTTATCATGCTTTCTCTCATACTAGGTGGGCTCATTTCATTGAGGCTAGGTGGGATATGTTTAAATGGTTCAGTCTTTTGTAGAAGTGACATCCAGAAATACCTTTCTCTGCTGCCCTGTCTAGTATATTTACTCCATGTTGGAGGACCAGAAATGATATCATAATATGCACATGTCCTTATGGTGCCTGGCACAACAAAGGTGTCAGTAAAAGAGGAGACACAAAGTTTGATATTTTTGGAGCCAAAAATTAGTGTGTGGGTAAGTCTTCTAATCAGCAGACATCAACAACTGTAAGCACATGATTGGATTCTGATACCTAACAAGAGGAAGTTCTCTCTTTACAGAGATACATGCAATAATGCAGTGCTTGCAATTACATTGTATAGCTTTGGAAGTGATATATTTTAGTTTTATACTTTAGTGATTATCTTTAGAAGACTTAACCTATATCCTTCACTTTAGAAGTCTGATTAATCAATATCTTGATCTTCGAAGTACAAGAACCTATGACACTTTGATCTACATACTCCCTGCCCATCATCCATGTTATTTTTGTTCCAACTTGTTCCATGTATTTGGTCCACATATTTTGTAGTTTCAGTTTGTTTTTAATACCCATGCTTGGGATTACCATCATCATTTGTTAAATTATAAATATATCTTTGCAATATATTTCTCTTAAGAATGCTTCTTGTATCCCCATTTCTTTCTTTTATTTTTTTATATTAATTAATTAATTTTTTATATTAATTAATTTATATTAATTAATTAATTTATTTGATATACAGTCTTATATTAGTTTCAAGTATATCCCCATTTCTTTCTCAGCTCAAGTTCCTTTTTGCAGAGGTCTCCTTTAGTAATCTTTCATCCTGGGTCCAGGGGTAGTGAATTCCCTTGATATTTCTGAAAATATTTTTATTTTCTGATAGAATTGTAGTTGAGCAGGTATTTTCCTTTAGTTCTGTTAAGATATACTCAATTATTTTCTGTTCTCTGTGGCTGCTTGATGAGAAGCCTGAGGTCAGTCTGATTTTTTCTCAATTATTTTTTCCCTTTGGAAGTTTCTAAGATTTAAAAATATATATATAAGTTTTGTGATTTACCTACGATGTGTTTATGTGTGGATTTGTGTTTGTTTACCTGCTTGGGATTTATAATGCATTAAAAATTTTTATTTCATATTTCAATCTAATAGACTTTAGAGCAGTTTTAGATTTACAGAAAAATTGCATAGATAATACAGAGTTCTGCTATACCAATCTCTTCTTCTCTCATAGTTTTCCTTATTGTTAACATCTTGCAATAGTGTGATACAGTTGCTACAATGGATGAACCAATATTGACACATTATTATTAACTAAAATCCATTGTTTACATTAATGCTGATCTTTTGTGTTGTACAGTTCTATGGGTTTTGATAAATGTGTGAAATATCGTGTATCCACCATTACACTAAAAGTCCTTTGTGCTTCACCTATTCATCTCTCTCTCCTTTCAAACCCCTGATAATCACTGATCTTTTCCTGTCTCTAGTTTTCCCTTTTCCAGAGTATCATACAGTTACTATCATGCAGTACATAGCCTTTTCAGACCAGCTTTTTTCACTCAGCTATATGCATTTAAGATCCTTCCATGTCTTTCTGTAGTTTAATATCTCATTTTTAAAAAGTACGGAATGATATTCCATTGTCTGGAAGTACCAGAGTTTGTTTATCCATTCACCTGGACCTCTTGGTTGCTTTCAAGTTTTGGCACTTATGACTAAAGCCACTATAAGCATTTGCAAGCAAATTTTTTTGTGTATGAGTTTTCAGTTAATTTGGGTAAATGCCTAGGAATACAGTTGCTGGATTATATGGTAAAATTATGTTTAGCTCTGTAAGAAACTGTTAAACTGTCTTCCAAAGTAGCTGTACCATTTGCATTACCAACAACAATCAATGAGAGTTCCTGTAGCTCCACATTTTCATCACCACTGGTGTTGTCAAATTTAGGATTTTAGTCATTTTAAGAGTGTCATCTGTAGTGGTATCTCATTATTTTAGTTTGTCGTTCCCTGATTACAAATAATGATGAACATGTTTTCAAGTGCTTATTTGCCATCTATATATCTTCTTTTGTGAGATGTCTATTCAGATTTTTTGCCCACTTTAAAATTAGAATTTTTTATGTTTATTATTGTTGAGTTTTAAGAGGTCCTTGTATATTTTTTATACAAGTCCTTTATCAGACATTTGCAAATACTTTATGTCTGCAGCTTATTTTTGATTCTCTTAACAGTGTCTTGTGAAGATCAGATGTTTTTAATTTTAATAAGGTCAAATTTAGCACATTTTTCTTTCATGGGTTGTGCTTTTAAAATTGTATGTGAAAACTCATCACCAAACCAAAGGTCACCTAGATTTTCTTCCATGTTTTCTTCTAGAAGTTTTATAGTATTATGTTTTATATTTGGGCAGTGATCCATTTTGAGACAATTATTGCGAAAGATATAAGATCTGTGTTTGAATTCTTATTGTTGTTGTTGGTATATAAGGGAATCCAGTCTTTCCAGTGCCATTTATTGAAAATATTATCCTTTCTTCATGGAACTGTCTTTGCTTATGTGGTAAAATGAGTTGACTATATCTGTGTAGGTGTGTTTCTAGACTCTCTATTGTGATCCATTTTTCTATATTTTATTTTTCTTTCACCAGTAATAGTACTGTCTTAATTACTGTAGTTTTATAGTATGTCTAGAAATTGGGTTGTGTCAGTCTTCTGACTTTGTATTTCATCAGTATTGTGTTGTCTATTCTGAGTCTTTTGACTTTCCATATAAACTTTAAGAATCAGTTTGTTTATATCTACAAAATAGCTTGCTTAGATTTGGTTATGATTGCAACTGAATCTATAGATCAAGGAATTTGGTATAATAATAAGTCTTTCAATTCATGATACAGAATATCTTTTCTTTATTTAAATCTTATTTGATTTCTTTGATTAAAGTATTTTAACTTTCTGTTTACAGATCCTGTACATGTACTTTTTTTAGATTTATACCTGACTTCTGTTTTTTTCTTTCTTTCTTTTTTACTGCCTTCAGATTTCTCCCTCTCTTCCTCCCTCTCTTCCTCTCTCTCTCTCTCTCTCTCTCTCTCATTTTCTTCTCTCCTTTCTTTCTTTAAAAACATAGTATTGTTTTTAATTTCAAGTTCCAATTGATCATTGCTGGTGTAGAATAAAACATCTGAATTTTGCATATTAATCTTTTATAGGTTTTCTGCAACTTTGTTATAAACAATCATTATTAATTCTAGGGATTGATTTTGCTAATTCTTTAGATTATCCATACATGTATTCATGCATTTAGTGACCAAAGACCATTTTATTTCTTCCTTCCCAATCTTTAGATCTTTATTTCCTTTTCTTGTCTATTGTACTAGCTAAGACTGCCAGTATGATGTTGAATAAGAGTGATGAGAGGAGACATCTCTATCACATGTTTTCAGTCTTAGGGAGAAAGAATCATCTTCTCACCATCAAGTACAATTTTTTGCTGTAGGTTTTTCTAGATGTTCTTTGTCAAGTTAAGGAAGTTATTTATTAGTAGTTTGCTGAGTTTCTT